TAGTTGGAATGAACAATTAAATCCAAATGATTAAATAGTGCTTGATCAAATAAGGTAACTGGATGACATTGTAGTTGGAATGAACAATTAAATCCAAATGATTAAATAGTGCTTGATCAAATAAGGTAACTGGATGACATTGTAGTTGGAATGAACAATTAAATCCAAATGATTAAATAGTCTTGATCAGGAAAAAAATCTCTCTCTCTCTCTTTTTTTTTCTTACCTTAGTTCCAAATCTTCCAGGCAATCCTGGCAAACCCTTTTCACCCTTTTCTCCCTGCAGAAATATAATAGGTATTAAATGAGGTTAACATTCTCATACTGTAAACTCTAAATGCCATTTTTATGTTTATGATATTATTTTGAAAAACAATACTCACTGGGCAGATCAATTTTCTTTTAATTATTTACTTTGAATCCATTCTTTACCTATTTTTTTGGCTTTCCAGTTTATTTTCTCTTCTGTTATGAATCTAATGTTTCAAACGTTTCGCTGTTTGACATTTCCTTCTAGATTTTGGTTTTGATTTATTTTAGATTTGTTTCTTCCAGAGCAATTTAGTTTGGGTTGGTACCTAGTTTGGCTTCCTTTACATACCAAAGGTCCAGAATCCATGGTGTTATTCCAAGAAACTGCAAGGAACACACACAACTAAATCTGCTAAAGGAGCAGATTTTTCCATTCTTACTCAACCATATGCACATTTGTACTTGAGCCATTTCTGCAACTGATCTTAGAATTTAATAATTCACCTCTCTATAATTTGAACATTGTTGTGTAAGTCATTTTATTTTTGGCAGTAGTATACTGCTTTTCCATATTGCTATTATAGATTCATTTGGAATGTAGTCTCATAAGAATTTGGCAGTCTATACATGTAAAAGCTAATAATAAATTTAATAATAATTCTCATCATTTATGGTATAAAACAATTTCAATATTTTCTTGTTACCCACAAACCAGGTGAACCAGGACCACCATCCCTTCCTGGCCTGCCCTAATAAAAGAAATAATAAAAGGAACAGTATGTAGTATACAGTGTGATATAGTATAGCATATAATAACCATTATTGCTAAACAAATGCATTACTAATATTTATAAACTTGTGCTGAAGCACACCATTTAAATCCAATAAAGCATGATTTAATAAACTGAATACATATAAATGAAGGTCCAATGTTCTTCATTTTTATAAAAAGGCAACTAAACACATAAATTTAAATGTGGGATTGAAAACAGTTTCCACAACAACAGATGGTTTTCAAAAAGGTTTGTCGAAAAGAGTTATGTATACCTGATGGCCAGGGTTTCCAGGCTCTCCTTTAATAGTATAGGAATCACCATATAAACCCTAAAGAGACCCCCCCCCCAAACAATAGATTTTAATTCATGTTAATGCACTGAACATGCAAGTTACAAAACTGAATTAATACTTTAACATCTGGAAAATGCAAATGCTGCTGTTAATAAATCTTAATTATTTCTAGCAACAGAAAATTTGTAATGCAATATTTAATGTCACAGAATTCTGGATATGAGTTTCCAATTTTTTCTTCTTGAAGAAAAAATGTGTACAATACCAGACACTTCCATAGAAATATTCAGCCAGTATATATAAAATATTAATTAACATTTTTTTAGACAAAGAATGTGCTGGTGTCTGCTGCACTTAAATGATCAAGCACTGTTCCCCCTGCTTTGTTTCTCCCTCCCTCTTCGTTTCCATTACTGTGTGTTTGGGGTTGTCTTGTTCTTTGTTTTGGAAAATGTAATTTTAATGTTTGCATTTTCATTTTGTAGTATGCAGATAAATAAAGTCAGGTGGACATTCTTTATTCTGTGGGTGTAAAGTCAGGTGGACATTCTTTATTCTGTGTATTCAAGTCCTTGGCATTCATAATCCTCCCTGGCTTGATCAAAGTCATGAAAGTAAAAGTATGATCATAATTGATAGTTCACAAAAGAAAATATATATTATTACGGAAAGTTTAGGTGGCAACTGAGATAACAATTAAGAACAACTTACTGGTTCTCCCGAGGGTCCTGGATGTCCTGGAGAACCTTGGTCTCCTTTATCTCCTTTTAATCCCTGTAACAAAGACCTTGAAGTTACTCTTTATTCTCTCTGCTTTTTCTCACCGTTCTCTTATCAAGCAGCAGCCCTGGAATCTTCTCTCCCTCTTTCCTTTCCCACTAAAAAAAAAGGCTTCTCTGTAGATCAAAGCTGAAGCCAAGTTAGTATTTTCATTCTTTTAAAGGACTTTTATTTTTTGTTTTGTTTTTCTAAAGGACAAGGGGGAGGAAGAAGTGGCAGGGGAGAACCTCTGAAGATTTCTTTTCTTTTAAAGATATGAATTCAGAATTCGTGTCCTGCTTCCTGATAATCTATTCCAGCAGCATTCTTTCCCTCCCTCAGTAGATGTTAAACAACAGAAGAATAACTCCTAGTTTTTTCCCAGGCTTAGAAACCAGTCAATTACATATACCTTGGGCATTAAGTGATTTGCACAAAATTATGAATTGTTCATTTATATGTAATCTTTGAATCTAGTCCTTTTTCTCTAAATTCAATTCCCATTCATGGTTCCCTCTTTGGGGTATTTTCTAACAGCAATATTTCAAATATAATCGGATGCCAGATTGGTTTTTTTTGACACCTTTAAACTCTGTAGGCTAGATGAAACACCAATTGCTAAGCTTATATTGCTTTTCATTTTCCTTCATTCAGCAAGAAGAGGAAGATACTTTCCCTTTTTAGCCTGTTTTTGATAGAAAGGAAGGAAGGAAGGAAGGAAAGAAGGAGGGAGGGAGGGAGGGAGGAAGGAAGGAAGGAAGGAAGGAAAGGAAAGGAAAGGAAAGGAAAGGAAAGGAAAGGAAAGGAAAAGAGGGAGAAGGTAATAATGTTGCTGAAAGAAGTCCTACTGCATCTCCCATAGTTATCCTGGTTAGATAGGGCAACGTGCTATGATGAAAGAGATCCTTCCTTTCCTTAAATGGTGACAAACAGCATGCATTAGCAACCTAATTCTAGTTCCAGAACCCATTTATTAAAATATCTCTTTATGCACAGAACTTCCCAAAGAACCATATAAATACAGCATCTCATACTGTACTGAATCTTAACAATATTATGTTGTTACCGTTGTATTTTCTGCTCCAGTTAATGTTATAATAACTGTTCCAGATGGTCCAGGAGGACCTATTAGTCCACAATCACCCTGAAATAATAATTAAAAAGTATTATTAAAATGGACTTGATAAATTAATAGAAGACAAATTAATGTAAGATAACTATCATTAGTTAACAGTCTGCATGCCTACCAAGTAATTCTTAAAACAAGCAGGGTTTATTGGCCTCATGATTTCCTTGTGAGCTTTCTGGATGCAAATTTTTAGCCATTATGAGGCACAGAATGCTCAAATAACAATTTTCATGATCAAACAGGCTTGTCTTCTACTCTTCACTATTTCTATGTATAATTAGGGGATTTAGCATGATGTATGCTAAAGAATAGCATTTGAGAAATATACTTACAGCATAGCAGTAGAGTAGACAAATGTGTTTTTATTATCAAATTAAGAAAGTTACTAGTTCCTATAATTCATGGATTCAATTTAAACTGATTTTTATTTTTATTGGATAAAAAAGAGCAATACTATACAAAATTCACAATAACTGTCTTGCTTAGAACAAAAAAATTGGGGCACAGTTGGGGCTACCTGTATAGATTTATAATGTTGCAGAAGAAACTAAACTGATTGGAAGAAGAGTTATATCCATTATATTGAGATATGTTCAATTAGTGGGAAAACTAAAAAAATAGAAATATGTTAGTTTAATTATAGTAAGAATGAGAGAATTATGTATACTTACCTTTATTCCTTTGGATCCAATAACATTAATACCCATGATACCCTAGAAGGCAAAACCTTCATTTAAAATGCATTCGAAAGTCTAAAACAACAGTGACACCATAAGTAAATAGTGCTAAGATAATTATTTGTATTGTTCATGTATATCATAACTTTAACAATACCTTGGGCCCTTGAGGTCCTGCTCTTCCTACTGTGCCCTAAAATGTACAAAAAAAAAATAAAAGTGGGCATTTTTTTGGTTATAAATGCATTACAAGAATACATTAATTGTTTGAAAATAACAAATAAGAAAAATTGCATATGTTAATATTTTTGATACAATAGTTCACTGGAAGCTTTAGAATATGGGTGCTATCTATTACCACGTTAATTGATGAACTTGTATTACTCTATCATTAAATATGTTTTATGGAGCAGAGGCCACTGCTGGAAGAACAGGCAGAGTCAAAAGCCAAAAAATTGGCCAGCTGTGGGTCTACTTGGAGCTACTTGCTTCAGTGATTCATGCACTCTTCCAGTAGTCTAGATCCAGTAGTCTTGATCTAGACTACTGGCATGCACTCTATATGAGACTTTTAAACATCATTTGGCACCTCATATTTTATCAGCTATCTGATGCTATCATCATGCAGCACTAATTGTGAACCCTACACTGTTATCAGAAGTATTCAAGATTCTGTTTTTAATCTATAAAGCTGTATATAGGTTCCTTCCCCCCCCAAATATTCCAGAACTGAAGAGAGCTGAGATCCAAAGACAAATTTCTCCTTTATAGTCCTAGTTCTCTGGAATGGCTTCTTCATGGAAATGAGATTGGGCTCATTCTTAATAACTTTCCAGAAACTTGTGAAAAGGGACTTATTCTGATAGATTTTGGAGTGATTTTTGATGTAGACCAGGTTATGTAGTATGTTTTAATTTAATTTAAATTTACCATGAGTTGGAAAATTTCAAATACTTTTCATTATTGTGAACCTTCAGGAATTGCAAGATGTGGCAGTATATGCATTTAATAAAAACATGCTAATACATTGTCATTAGCATGTAATGCATTAATATATAATATCACAGATAATATAAAACATCATGTGTTTAATCTGTGAGTTGATTGAAAATGATGAAATTCTCAAGAACTACTCAAAGCAGACCTAAAAGTAAAACAATTTGCTTAGGAAGATTTTGCTTATGCAGTTTGTAGTAAAACTGTAAAAAGACTTTGAAGAAGACAAAACAAAAAATAGTTCCCCAAATAAGAAAGAGTTCCCAGGCAAATGGGACAAGAACATTCTGATAAGAAAGGAAAAAGATGTGAGAAACATTAACTAAGCTTTAACATACAAACAAAGTTTTGTATATCAGCAATGTAACGGTATATAAATAAAGGTATAAAAATGTATCTTTGAGATAAGGAAACATTAAATTCAGCTTCCAAGTAGAATAAAAGGTAACATTCTATTTAAACTTGTACAAACAATTTAAATTTTCTTACTGGAAAACCTGAAGAGCCTTGTGGTCCAATTGTCCCAGGTAATCCTTGAAGTCCTGGCTTACCCTTTAAGAGATAAATGAGGTTCAAAACTGGTCGTATATAAAATTGCCATCATTATATTAGATAGTCTAAAGATCATCTACCATGGCAAGGCATTTTTAGACTAGGGACCACACCTTCTCTTCCTTCCTTCCTTTGGGCCTACAAAATATATACCCTGTGACACTCTTTTTTTTTTGGATGCGTGATTAATAAACCCAATAGTTCCCGAAATCAGAAATCCTGATCTGCATGACATAATGATTCTAATTTAATTGAAAATTCTGTTATTTTGTATTGTATTATTAAATGTTTACACCAACGATGTTGGCTATGTAATAGTACACATGTGATTATACGTTATGAAAATGAAAAATAAAAAAAACTTTATGAAAATTCTATTATTTCCAATTCCAGTTAAACTGGATATATTTCTTCATTTTTGTACAATTATTTTTCAGAAAATATATTTCAAGCTTACCTGAAACCCAGGCACTCCTGGCAATCCAGGATTACCTTTAGAAGAACTGTAACTTTGATTGAATCCATTTACAGAAGCTCCCTTAAGAATTAAATGGGGAAAGAAACATTTCATTGATCAGAATGGCAGAATTAAATGTAGCAAAAATATTTTGATTAACTGTTTAATGGTAAAAAATGATTAACTAACTAAACTAATCGGCTGTGACCAGGGGGACCTTTGCCCAGGTTCACCTGGTGCACCAATTGCAACCCTACCT